AAAAGTCCATGGATGTGTGGTTATTCTAGCCTCCCAGTAGGCAAGTCTAGATATGCAGACAGTTATAACTCCAGCGTCTTCCAGGGACAACTTGTTGTTATTATTTATATAATCAAGAAATTATTATTTAAACTAATAATTATTGCCTCATAGACTTGTGCTGGATAATAGCTGACTGACCAGTTAAACAATATACGGTCGCTGACATAGTTCAAATATTTTGTGGATATTGTAATTTCTCAGATGTTTCCAGCCAGCTAAAGCTGTTGAGGTCGTTGTCGGCACAGGAACTACAGAAATGTATCCAGGTTACTTCCCTACAGAACAGGACTATATGAAGGCACATGGGACAAAATGTCTTGACAGCCACACTAAAACATGTTTCATGCATTTAGTAAAAATAGAAATAGAATCGTCCACCCGTAGTATATGAGGTATTCTGTAGCACCTGAGCCAACAATGACCTAACAGCCCGACTCAGCCTGAGTTCAATGAATGGAGTATAGTTCCTTCAGCTGATTGTTGCTAAGGCTTGAGACGGTAGCCTAGTGGTTAAAGCGTTCGCTCGTCACACCAAAGACCCGGGTTCGATTCCCGACTAGGGTACAATGTGTGGAGCCCAATTCTGGTGTACCCACTGTGATATTGCTGGAATATTGCTAAAAGCGGCATAAAACCATACTTACTCACTCCCTCACTCAGGCTTGAGACATTCCAGAACCTATGTATGCCACACTTACAAGACCATCTTCCCGAGGCAAGAAAGTTAACTGACTTTAAAAGTCCAGTTTCCACCCTTGCCGAACTAGGCTGAAATTCCTGGGCTCGATGGTAGCGCCACCTGTGGCTATTATTAATTATGTCCCTTCTATGCCTCTCCTATGGACCAATCAGATTCCACCTCTCGTATCACTTGTATTTGCTTCAAACAAAACAGCGGCATCCAGTCAAGACGATCTGACCGATAATGAAGATCTGTATTGTGAGCAAATGAGTCTTACATCACGAAGTGCATCAAATCACGTGAGCACCTTGATTAAAAACATGAAAAGATTAGGAAAATATCTGTTGACAACGAGTTGGCGATCCACATGTTTTGCAAATCCTTCAATCGACCGAAATCTGCATGACAGTTTACGAACCGGATTTCGATTTCATTGCACGATTTTGATTGGACTATGCATAGACTCATTAGTCGAGCCAAAATGTAACTCTGTAATACCAGCCTAGTTCAGCAAGGGTGGAAACTGGACTTTTATAGTCAGTTAACTCCCCTGCCTCAGGAAGATGTTACAAGACATGTCCCTGATGAATGTGAAGGTAGTTGAAAATTCTCAGTGACAGAAATAATACAAGTAGTCTGATGCTTCTGTGAATGTCCGCCCGGAGAGCGGAAGGTCCGGGGTTCGATCCCCGGCCGCGTCATACCAAAAGACGTTAAAAGATGGTACTTGTTGTTACCCTGTCTGGCGCTCGGCATTAATGGGCTAAAACAAGGACTAGTCGGCTCGGAGTCAGGATACTGTGTCTGAGTGGGGTATTCAAGTTAAACTGCGGCATGGTATCTCAGTGAGCTAGCGCTATAAATCGGCATCAGTCCGGACTAGTACAAGCAGCCACACACACACACACACACACACGTGCATGCACGTCGCTATATAAGTGCAATAATCTTGGACGCGACGTTAAACCCAATTTCACCTCACCTCACCTCATTACCACAAGTGGGGCCTTGCACACATGAGGACCTGCGGATTCTGCTCCCATTTCAGCGACAGAAACTAACTGTTTTAGTCCACTAGTCCTTACAATGATAACATACAGCAAAAAAATCATATCTTAGAAGTATACCTCAATATAGATCTGCTCATGATGTTGTTATGAACTGCTAATGTCACTTAACATCTCAAGGCAGCCAGACTCTAATTTACATGCCCTGTGAAGCATTCCCAGATGTAGTCCTGCTCATACATGTTGATGTACATCACTAAAGTCACGATGCAGCGTGTTCCCACCCACAGTAACTTCTATACAGATGTAGTGCTGAGTGTTTGCAGGGAATCAAGGGTGAAGAGTGGGAGTAAGGAGTGGTGACTGAAATACGTGAAATAGCTTAATCCTTACCTTACATCCAGCACTGACAGCTGTAAGGAGAGACGTTCGTACACCCAGCACTGACAGCTTTAAGGAGAGACGTTGGGAAGAAGTGCTGTTCCCTGCCGATCTGTCATCAACCCTATTCTCATCTTATGGTAGCACTCCAGTACATGTGTGCGCTGTTTTGACTTTTAAACAATGTGTGACCTGGTTTGATCTTTTTGTGTCATTGGATCCTGAGTGCATGCATTGTTGCTCATGCTATCGACCACTGGTTTGCATGGAACAAAGTCAATGATTTACAAGCTGTCTTGGTGTATCCTCATTTTAGTTAGGTCTTATGATAGGGCTAGGGTAGTGTGGAACCATTCTGTCCCTTAATTGCCACAGGGAGACAATCTTGGAGTACTGGGGACCTATTCTGCCCCTTAATTGTCACAGGGAGACAATCTTGGAGTACTGGGGACCTATTCTGCCCCTTAATTGCCACAGGGAGACAATCTTGGAGTACTGGGGACCTATTCTGCCCCTTAATTGCCACAGGGAGACAATCTTGGAGTACTGGGGACCTATTCTTCCCCTTAATTGCCACAGGGAGACAATCTCGGAGTACTGGGGACCTATTCTGTCCCTTAATTGCCACAGGGAGACAATCTTGGAGTACTGGGGACCTATTCTGTCCCTTAATTGTCACAGGGAGACAATCTTGGAGTACTGGGGACCTATTCTTCCCCTTAATTGCCACAGGGAGACAAACTTGGAGTACTGGGGACCTATTCTGTCCCCTAAATTCTCACATGGCCTTCAGATTAAAGATGGCTGTGCCATGAAATAGATGCTTACTTACAAATCATCAGTTATGGTGGCAGTGTCGCCAACGTTGTCAATAACCGGTGTGGATGGAGGCCAGGTGAAGGTGGAGGGGATTTGGGCTTATCTTAAACTGGCAGAAATTGTTTCCAGTGTAGTTTATGGTGTTTGTCTATGTATAGATAGCATAAGAACCGTCACTGTATTTCAATATATTCAGTTCTAATTGACACATGATGTTGAGGTTGTTCAGAAGTGGGAGGTGCGAATGATATTCTTGTAATCTGTACAGCCTTATCGAGGCTTGTAGCTGCCCATTCAGACTGGAATGCCATGGTCTGTAACCTGGACGTTGATTTCAAGTTACGAGAGTGTTTTCATTGTGTATCTTGTATTTTGCCAAGGTGTTTTGGATTTGACTAAGAAAGTTGATTTGTAATGTTGAAGTCTGAATGCCAGTATAGAATAGGTGCCCTATACCCAAGTTCATCACTGCTCTCCTGTGTAGAATAGGTGCCCTATACCCAAGTTCATCACTGCTCTCCTGTGTAGAATAGGTCCCCGATACCCAAGTTCATCAATGCTGTCTGGTGTAGAATAGGTTCCCTGTACCAAAGTTCATCACTGCTCTCCTGTGTAGAATAGGACCCCTGTACCCAAGTTCATCACTGCTCTCCTGTGTAGAATTGGTCCCCTGTACCAAAATTTCATCACTGCTCTCCTGTGTAGAGGAGGTCCCCTGTACCAAAGTTCATCACTGCTCTCCTGTGTAGAATAGGTCCCCTGTCCCAAAGTTCATCACTGCTCTCCTGTGTAGATTAGGTCCCCTGTCCCAAAGTTCATCACTGCTCTCCTGTGTAGATTAGGTCCCCTGTACCAAAGTTCATCACTACTCTCCTGTGTAGAATAGGTCCCCTGTCCCAAAGATCATCACTACTCTCCTGTGTAGAATAGGTCCCCTGTACCAAAGTTCATCACTGCTCTCCTGTGTAGATTAGGTCCCCTGTCCCAAAGTTCATCACTGCTCTCCTGTGTAGATTAGGTCCCCTGTCCCAAAGTTCATCACTGCTCTCCTGTGTAGATTAGGTCCCCTGTCCCAAATTTCATCACTGCTCTCCTGTGTAGAATAGGACCCCTGTACCAAAGATCATCACTACTCTCCTGTGTAGAATAGGACCCCTGTCCCAAAGTTCATCACTGCTCTCCTGTGTAGAATAGGTCCCCTGTACCAAAGTTCATCAATGCTTTTGAGCAAAAGTAACTTTTATTTATAGGAAAATTACTTTTTTTGAATGACATGTATTGGTGGGATTACGAGAACATGCCATTGTCAAATGTTATGATCCTAGTCATCACTAGGGCTGGGACGATACACCAACTGTGCGATCCGATACGTATCACAATACTTTACCCACGATCCGATACATATCACGATACTTGCATGTGCTCTTATCTGTGGTCCGTAAGCCATCTTCTTCATATACAGGATGGTCAAATACCTGTCGCACTGATGATTTACAGTTGGCAGTGTCAAGTATGGCTCAGTGGAGGAAAATATTTACGTTTTCACAATTAACTTTCACTACTAATTAGTGTTTAGCATAAAAGTTATTAAAGCAAACATTTAAGGCAAGAATCAATTTTTTTAATTTAAAAAAATCGCGATCGGTGTATCGTCCCACCACTAGTCATTACTGTAAAAAAGAAGATGGCATGTTGAAACCTGCAAAAAAAGGTGCATCATGTTCTCTCATCCAGACCCTCAGACAAAGATGTCCAATAACATCAATGCAGACCTTTGATAGTTCAGCAAGCCCTGGTTACTCCAGTGTTATCTGAACTGAAGTGATTATTTCTTATATATTACAGGACAATTATATAAATTAAGAATTTTAATGTATTTTAATTTCAGAGACTAAATGTTAGTCTATGTTGACTCCATACCTCTGACAATGGTGGACTTGACAACATGTTCCCTGTTAAAAGCCTGAAACATATACTGCTCGACACCTGATTGGGACATTCCCAGAATGCAACGATGCACCTGTGATATTGACAAGCCTTCATTTTCAACCATGTCCTGTTTGTTTCAGATGAGAGGGAGGATGTCCAAAGGAAAACCTTCACAAAATGGATAAACTCCCAGCTATCAAAAGTAAGTTGACACTTTTCAACTCATTAGACACAGTTTCTGTTTTTCAAGACAATTTGACATGTTGTCCAAAACAATTCGGGAATAATCCGGTAGAAATTACAATGTACTGTTAATGGTAGATGCAAACTATACATTAACTGGTGAACATGGAGTCACTAGGTATTGGTATGTCAAGTTACATGTGGACTTACTTGTTTCAGGCCCATCGATCTGTGATAAGTGATCTGTTCGAGGATCTGAAAGATGGCACCATCCTCCTGTCTCTCCTGGAGGTGCTCAGCGGCAGGACACTGGTAAGATTTGGTTCTTGGGGGGATCAGTTGAGTAGCTCTGGGCAAGGATTGACTGTGTGATTAGGGGGCACAGTACTGGTAAGACCTAGTTCTTGAGGGAATCAGTTGAGTAGCTCTGGGCAAGGATTGACTGTGTGATTAAGGGGCACAGTACTGGTAAGACCTGGTTCTTGAGGGGATCAGTTGAGTAGCTCTGGGCAAGGATTGACTGTGTGATTAGGGGGCACAGTACTGGTAAGACCTGGTTCTTGAGGGGATCAGTTGAGTAGCTCTGGGCAAGGATTGACTGTGTGATTAGGGGGCACAGTACTGGTAAGACCTAGTTCTTGAGGGAATCAGTTGAGTAGCTCTGGGCAAGGATTGACTGTGTGATTAAGGGGCACAGTACTGGTAAGACCTGGTTCTTGAGGGGATCAGTTGAGTAGCTCTGGGCAAGGATTGACTGTGTGATTAGGGGGCACAGTACTGGTAAGACCTGGTTCTTGAGGGGATCAGTTGAGTAGCTCTGGGCAAGGATTGACTGTGTGATTAGGGGACACAGTACTGGTAAGACCTGGTTCTTGAGGGGATCAGTTGAGTAGCTCTGGGCAAGGATTGACTGTGTGATTAAGGGCCACAGTACTGGTAAGACCTGGTTCTTGAGGGGATCAGTTAGTTCAAGGCAATGGTTGTCTGCATTATTAGGGCACAAGGATTGTCTGCAGTATTGGGGCACAAGGATTGTCTGCATTGTTAGGGCACAAAGATTGTCTGCATTATTAGGGCACAAGGATTGTCTGCATTATTGGGGCACAAGGATTGTCTGCATTATTGGGGCACAAGGATTGTCTGCATTTTTGGGGCACAAGGATTGTCTGCATTATTGGGGCACAAGGATTGTCTGCATTATTGGGGCACAAGGATTGTCTGCATTATTAGGGCACAAGGATTGTCTGCATTATTGGGGCACAAGGATTGTCTGCATTATTAGTGCACAAGGATTGTCTGCATTATTGGGGCACAAGGATTGTCTGCATTATTGGGGCACAAGGATTGTCTGCATTATTGGGGCACAAGGATTGTTTGCATTATTGGGGCACAAGAATTGTCTGCATTATTAGGGCACAAGGATTGTCTGCATTATTGGGGCACAAGGATTGTCTGCATTATTGGGGCACAAAGATTGTCTGCATTATTGGGGCACAAGGATTGTCTGCATTATTGGGGCACAATGATTATCTGCATTATTAGGGCACAAGGATTGTCTGCATTATTGGGGCACAAGGATTGTCTGCATTATTGGGGCACAAGGATTGTCTGCATTATTGGGGCACAAGGATTGTCTGCATTATTGGGGCACAAGGATTGTCTGCATGATTAGGGCACAAGGACAGACAAGGATCTGGGGATGAGAAGATAGATGTGTTACCACTAATTGTGATGTACCTTATCTTCTGCTTTGTTTTTTACAATTAGTATTTTTTTTGTATCAGTCAGTTACCAATACCTAGATTGAATACATGTGTTCCAAGATGCTTTCAGCGTTGTGACTGCAGATGTTGGGTGTGTTACAGAAGCGGGAGAAGGGTCGTCTGAGGGTTCACCACATCAACAATGTAAACCGGGCCTTGGAAGTGCTGGAGCATAATTATAATGTGAGTACTGCATGGCAGATGATGTAAATATCAGGGTTACCGTGGGGAGGGGCAGATGCTGCTTGCTCCACTCGGCCACAAAGCTGGAGTTGTTCTCATCAAACCTGTTTCATGGTAGAACAGGCAGTACCATATTCATTGTCACTACCTTACTTAACACAGTCAGAACTTCAACATCAATTTGAGAGGTGGGATGGTCTGGTCATCCAAGGTGCTGTTATCCACTGTGAAAAGTTGCACCCTATAGATGTGCCAGAAATTTATAATCGTGGGTTTGATTCCCATAATTGTCCTTTCATATTTTTGTTTGTCAGCTATATGCCTGTGTTCGTTGGTTTCACCTCTGTGGTAAAAGTCTAATTAAGAGTCCTGCATCATTTTGGACTCTCCCTCTATTTTGACGTGAAAGTGAGTGTGTGAGTGAGTTGGGTTTAACGCCGCTTTCAACAGTATTCCAGTTATATCACGGCGTGTCAGCTTAATGTGGGAGGAAAGCCCGAAGTGATGCAGATCTCAGATGTTTACCACTTCGATGAAACCCACGAACACGGGTATGGTGCTGACAAACCTAGAAACATAATTGGGGCGAACCAGGATTCGAACCCACAATCATAGGTTTCTGGTGTGCCCAAGGGACGCAACTCTGCACTGCGAATCGCGGCGCCTTAGACAACTGGGCCACCCGTGCCCCCATGAAAGAGTAAATGAATTTGGAAGTAGTGAGTGAGAAAGGAAGGGAGGGACTAAAGAAATGGGCTGTACATATTTCACTAAAGCAGATATTCAAACCCAGATCTTCAGTGTGAGAAGCTGACGCTTTGTCCATTAGACTACTCAGCTGACATGTGAGCATTATAATAACTACCCTGTCAGTGGTGGAAGTCCATCAACATCTAGAAGACACATGAACCCAAAGACACTGATTACTTTATCTACCAGATCGTCTCTCCTCTAACAACAATCTAGCAAGAATGTAGATCTCCTGCCTCAAGTACTCTGCCTGGAGGCTCCGCTCCCTCCAGAGGTGTGGGCTTATGGCTTTGAAGGAGGAGCAGGGGGGTCCCTGGAGGAAGGGGGGTGGGCAGAGGAGATGAAGGGGAAGAGAATTATCTCCTGACCTTTGTTATTGAGCATGGAAAGGTCACAAGGTGCTAAGTAGCAGGATCTCTGGTGGAGGTTGTTCAAGGTGTGGAGGTTCTGGGTAGTGGCTGTTTTAACAGCAGAAACCAAGCAGTTTGAGTTACTGGTTCTATGGGGTGGCAGGAGTGGCCCAGTCATCTTAGGGGCCACAATTTGCTGTGCAGAGTTGCGTCCCTTTGGCATGCCAGAAACCTATGATTGAGGGTTTGAATCGCGCTTCCCCCTATTATGTTTCTTGGTTTTCCAGCACCATACCTGCGATCGTGGGTTTCACCAAAGTGGTAAACGTCTGAGACCTGCATCACTTCGGTCTTTTCTCACACATCAAGCTGACATGCTGGGATATGAACGGAATACTCACTAACTCGCTCACTCACCCACTCACCCACTCACTTACTCACTTACTCACTCACTCACTCACTCACTCACTCACTCACTCACTCACTCACTCACTCAACCACTCACTCAACCACTCACTCAACCACTCACTCAACCACTCACTCACTGATCTACAATGTAGATATCGCTTGATCTCACTGAAACAATATCTCCTGTTGGAGCCAGTTTTGGATGATAAAGTATCAGGATACCCTAAGTATCACTGCTCATCATGGAAGTCCGCTAGCTCGCTACTACATTGTCGTGAGGTTAATCCACTGATGGTCCTCCTCACTGACTTGTAGCATTTGACGGCTACAATTGTGAATCAGATCTCAATGCTTCAATTTGGCTACAAATAGTAGCTGAATAAAACAGATAGGAAAAATGGGGGGCGGTCGGATAGCCTAGTGGTTAAAGCGTTCGCTCGTCACGCCAAAGACCCGGGTTCGAATCCCAACATGGGTACAATGTGTGAAGCCCATTTATGGTGTCTCCCACCATGATATTCCTGGAATATTGCTGGAATATTTCTAAAAGCGGCGTAAAACCAAACTCACTCACTGATAGGAAAAATGAGGTTCTGAGGCTGTTCATGCCATCACCCACTGATGTGCCTGACCAGACTGGATGAATGACAGGCAGCTGGGATATGCAGTGATTGAAATAGTTTTAAAACCCAAATAGACAGTTGGGCAGGTGACCCATAAGTGTTGCCCGCCCATCTTCAAAGTTACCTGCCCGCATTCAGACACTATAAATATTGAAAAATTGCAAAACATAAGAGACAAATCGTGCCTGGATTCAGTAGAAATAATGCAAACAATCTCTTGAGAATCTACGAGGAGTTATGATTAAACTGAATGAGTAAGTGGTCTTAAATTTATCTGCCAGACAGTCGGGCAGATGGGAGAAAATTTCATGCAGCCCGACGGAAAAGTTACCCGGCACGGGCAGGCAGGCAAGCAGTTATTTCGGGCACTGGTGATATGCCACTGGAAGATTGCTGGTTGTGGTGTAAAAATATTTCTAACTCACTCCCTTGCACAACCGAGCTGCACAGACCATCAATACACAGGATTATTCAGTAATAAGGAATACGGATGTAAAGATCAGAACTCATCAATTGGTGGAGTTTCTTTTGAGTTTTTCATTAAAAGAGAATAAAAATACGGAATTGGAGAGATCTGCAGCTCTACCGAAACGTGTCTTGTAGGAACTGTAATTTGTACCAACAGACCAGCCATTCATCGATCAGACAGCCAGACTTTGTGACTAAAAGTGCAGATTGTGAGATGCACGATATCAATTTGGTGTTATCAAAGTTTCTGGTCAAGGACAGATTTTTTTATTTATAAAATTCACTGATTTTTGGCCCAAAAATTCAGATTTGTAGGTAAAAAAAATATGTATTTAAAAAATCCATTTTCAAATATATTTTCCTTGCAATTTATCATTATTCATTGTGTTTTCAAGTTTTTATAATAACTTTTCAACAAGTTTTAATTATGGTATTTCAAATAATCTATTTATTTTGGAGTACTTGGTAAAGAAAAAGGTATATGGATGAACAACCTATTTATGAATTGCTTGATAGCAGTGGGGGCGGTCGGGTAGCCTAGTGGTTAAAGCATTTGCTCGTCACGCTGAAGGCCCGGGTTCGATTCCCGACATGGGTACACTGTGTGCAGCCAATTTCTGGTGTGCCCCGCCATGATATTGCTGAAATATTGCTAAAAGTGGCCTAAAATAATACTAACTCACTCACTCACTCACTCAGATGATAGCGATGTTAGAATCTACACCGAAACGTCTCTCCTAATGGTAATAAAGAAGTTGTTCATCCATTTATCTTATCCTTACTTAGTTCTGGTGGCTTGAATTAAAAAAAATATATATTTATTATTTTTAAAAATTTCAATTGAGTCAACAGATTTGAAAACCAAGTTTAAAAAGGGTCTGGACCAAATATTGTGTAAAAGAATCAAGTCTATAACTGCAGGGAAAACAGAAAATGGATGTCTTTGTTTAGAGTTATAACATTTGAGGACGGTCGGGTAGCCTAGTGGTTAAAGCGTTCGCTCGTCACACCGAAGACCCGGGTTCGATTCGACATGGGTACAGTATGTGAAGCCCATTTCTGGTGTCCCTCACCGTGATATTGCTGGAATATTGCTAAAAGCGGCGTAAAACCATACTCACTCACTCACACTCAATATATGCTAATAAGGGGGCACGGGTGGCCCAGTCGTCTAAGGCGCCGCGATTCGCTGTGCAGAGTTGCGTCCCTTGGGCACCCCAGAAACCTATGATTGTGGGTTTGAATCCCGGTTCGCCCCAATTATGTTTCTAGGTTTGTCAGCACCATACCCGTGCTCGTGGGTTTCACCGAAGTGGTAAACGTCTGAGACCTGCATCACTTCGGGCTTTCCTCCCACATTAAGCTGACACGCCGCGATATAACTGGAATACCGTTAAAAAGCGGCGTTAAACCCAACTCACTCACTCAATATATGCTAATAAAAGAGTGGGAAATGCATTTTATTGAAGAAAATACTATAAAAACCATACTCACTTAGAGTAACATTGATGTTTTATGCTTGTCAGAAACTAGATTATTAGTGTAGGCTTGCCTCTCAGCTTGCCAGCCCCTGCATCTCCTCTACATAGCTCTCTCAAAGCATGTCATAATGATCTGCTGTACCATGGCATTGAGATGGTAATTAGACATGACGGTGCTACAGGCAGCTCTTCAACATGGCGCTTATGGTCTGAACAGGGTTCTCTTTGATCTCTTTACTTCAGAACGGACTTTTGACATCCAATTAGATGTTTTGGTATATTTCTGTAAATTCATACTTAGTTTTAAGTCCATCCTTTTTTGAAGCAATTAGTTTATATGCAAGCACTAACTAAGTACTGGCTACCTTATAATTGCTGCTGTTCAAGAAAAAAGCCTACCCCATGGTGACTTTAGTGCAGGATATCTCCCCAGTACCCAAACAGTTGCCTTGCTGATTGCATTTCTTTGTCAGACCCGTGAAGATTCCGGGGTAGAATAGGTCTTCAGCAACCCATGCTTGCCGTAACAGGCGACTATGCTTGTCGTGAGATGCAATTAACGGGATCGGGTGGTCAGGCTCACTGACTTGGTTGATGCATGTCATCGTATCCCATTTGCGTAGATTGATGCTCATGATGTCTATCACTGGATTGTCTGGTCCAGACTCAATTATATACAGACCGCCTTCACATAGCTGGAATATTGCTGAGTGGCGTTAAACAAAGGCATGTCACTGTTCCCCATTTGTTTTGGTTTCTGCTCATGCCTGGCCCAGGCTTATATTTTCAGAGCATTATTGTATTTCCTGTGTGATATAAGAACATTTACTTTCTTATTGACAGAGAGTGAGTGAGTGAGTTGGTTTTATGCTGCTTTTAGCAATATTCCGGCGATATCATGGCAGGGGAACCAGAAATTG